GTATTTATATTTGTGTATACACAGTTTAGATTGTCAAAAATTCTGTTTTTTTAGGGTCATTAACGAAGTTCATGTACTCAGACCAGTAATATTTGGGGTCACAACTTTTTTGCCATGGACATCTTGTGGGTCAGAAGACAAAAAGTTTGGGAACCACTGGCTTAAAGTGTATTAATTTAAAATAAAGTGAAAAAATAAGATGCAAAAAAAGGTTACTTTTGTTTTGAAAGTGACCGGAAACTGTAAATATGGGAAGTGCAAACAATGGCCACTAGAGGGCGACAAAACTCTTTATTGTCACTGAATTTTTTTCATTTCTCTTGTAATATTAATCAATTGTATAGGAACAAAAATATAAACATTAAACATTATATTTTTGTCAGATTACACTGAAAAACACCTAAATTTAAAATCGATATTACAGCTTTTATTGTCCACATGAGAGAAATGTTCTTAATTTGCCTAAATCCCATAAATCACGAGGTTTAGTACTTGAAATGAATAATCCCTGCAAACAGTTATAATGTAACAGTGCACTGCTCACAGAGCACGATGATTGTTTATCAATAAAGATTAACGAAAAAAAAGAGAAAAAAAACTCACCTGTCCCGCCCCGCCCACTTTGAGTGGACGATCACGTGGTCAAGTGGGCGGGTTGTGTTTGACTGACAGCAGGTTCACAAAGCGAGCTGCCTGAGAAGCAGTGGTTTGATTTTCATTGTGCAACAAAAAGTTCTGTTTTTATTTATTTATTTATTTATTTATTTGATTGTATTTTATTGTCAACATGGGAAAGAGAAGCAGCAGCAACGTCAGCAGGAGGAGCTCATCGTTTAATAAAAGTTTAAATTTTGACGAATTCGGCTTCGCTCTGAGCAGAAAGAAGGACCGGAAGCTTCATCACAGATGTCACGAGTACAGGTGCGGGATTGGTTGATGCTAATTAACTGCAATTAACAACAAAAAGTAAATTTAGTTTTGTACCTAAACCTTTAAGTTTTGTACGACTCGTCAGTAAACATTTTGTTCAGTTTATTTAGCTGATAATGTGATGAAAAGCTAATTAATTTGTGGCAACAAATATTGGATCACTCACTGAATCGAGCAGAATTGTTTTTCCATTTCAATTATTCAATTAAAATAACGTTTTGACAGAAAAATTAAGCTTTTAGTTCTATAATAAAGCTGTTGAGCTCAGATAATATCAATGTTTCATTGGTTATTCATGAACAATGATGTAAAAAACGCACTTGAACGTTTCTAAAACTGTGATTTCAGGTCTCTCCCAGTAGATTAGTTGAGATCACCGGTTCTGTCACAGGAAGTGATGTCATCCCAAAAGTTGTTGAATCACAGCCTCGTTGTGTTGTTTTTGTTCTCAGCTACCCCCAGCTGAGCCCAGTCGGGGTCAAAGAGCTCTGTGAGCTGCTCAGCTACTGGAACGGAGACAGTTTCATCTGTAGGAGCCAGGTGAGTTCAGCAGAAACACAAAAAATATATATGTATCATTAATAATCTGAGGCTGAGGCTGCCTGAAGGTGATTTTCTGTTTTTCAGATTGAGCGTTTTATCCGGCTGGGCATCCCTCCCAGCCTGAGGGGCAGTGTGTGGAAGTGTCTCCTGAACATCGATGCTCTGAGAGAAAACAGCGACTTCACTTATCAGGTAAACAGTGTCGTCCCAGTGAGGAAACAAATCAACTGGTTTTGTTGAAGGAAATAAATTCATCAAGTTTTATGTGAAGATTTGAGATTTGACCCTTTTTTTTGTCTTAGTTTGATTGCGAAAAATTATTATATGATGATGTTTTTGCCCCTGCATGTTTGTAATGTCAGCAAAATGAACCAGAATGATGAATTTTATCAAAACTGTCAGGAATCAATGTCAAATCAAATCAAGTTTATTGGTCACATGCATCGTGATACACAGAATAACTTGTAGTGAAATGCTTTGCACTAAAGTCTGCACACACAAACTGAAATAATAATAATAATAATAATAATAATAATAATAATAATAATAATAATAATAATACATTTTATTTGAAGGCACCTTTCATGGCACTCAAGGACACCATACAATAAAATATACTGTATATATATATATATGTATATGTATATATAACAAAAAAATCCTCATA